TGGGGACTCTCCATAGGCGTAATGGTTTTTATACTGTACAGACCGTATATTCTATTGCCCTACACCAACCCTACCCCTAAACCTACCCCTCACAGGAGACTTTCTGCTATTTCAGATTTTCAATACACTCCATTCTGTGTGATTTATAAGCGTTTTGAAAAGTGGGGACATGGAGTAATGTCCTGAAAAGTCACCTTCTCCTTGTAATACCTATGTTATACATTTGTCATTATACAAATTTATGTCCTCATTTGTCACAAAAAAACGCGTACACACACACACACACACACACACACACACACACACAGATCTTGTGTTTTTGGACGAATGCTCATCATTACTGTGTAAGAATCATACTGTCACACTCCTCGTCGTGTTTCTGCAGTATGTAGTGTGTAAACTCTGCAGTATATGATCGTTCTACTTGCAGAAATCCTGGATGACCTACATTTCCCAAATGTGCAGTACACTGCATTAGATACACTGTATCCCATAATGCAATGCACAATACATTCTTCTATTTCAAGTATAATGAATGAAGACGAAGTGGTGTCGTCTTTGATATCGTCCTTATTCACTCAGCATTTGGTTGAACTGTGAACGGATTAGACATTTGTACAACTTTTTTTTTTTTTTTTACTGCAGTTGAGCTCAATAAATTAATCATGCATTCAATTATTTTTATTAAAAGTGCCTATACTGTACATATGGTCACAATTTCCATTTAGTACATTTCCCATATTTCTATAAAAATATCTGCATAAACATTAATCTGTACCTTGTGTATTTTATTTTTTATTTTATTTTGTATGTAATATATAGTTTTTCATTTGTTTTATTTTTTAATTAATTAATTTGATTTTGTTTATTTTTAATTGTATATTTTTAATTTGATCAATTTATTATATTTTATTATTTTTTATTTTATTTATTATTTTGCCTTATTTCTGTGTTCTGGATGCTTCTCTCACCAAGACAAATTTCTGGTGTGCTTGAACTCTTGGCAGTAAGGCTCATTCTGATTTTGGTTCATGTGACAACTGTTTATAATTGCATACTGCTGCTTTTAATCTAGTATGTGGTGTACAGTATATACTGCACATTCTTCAGTAAGTAGTGTGCTAGTATTTCATGCCAAACAGGGCTTATGACTTCATGCACACACATGCTACTGCTGCATGTCTGTTTACACACACAGATGCATTCAGCCTTAGAGAAATATTCATATCGTCTGCTGCTGTATTCACACTTAAACACATATATATCTTGAGTTAATCTGTTTATATTGTGCTTTCCATCTCATCTAAGCAGTTTTTCTCTCCAGCAGGTGGAGCTGTAACAATTGTGTCTGTAAGAACGTCGCACAGCATGCAAGGAAACTGAGAAGACACTCGTTCAACATGACGTCCCCTCCGCCCTCATCTCAGCCATAGGACGCACAGCATGCAAGGAAACTGAGAAGACACTCGTTCAACATGACATCCCCTCCGCCCTCATCTCAGCCATAGGAACACACACACACACACACACACACACGCAGAAGAACACACACCATCACACTACAGCCCCAGGTGTGTCAGGACTGACTGAACTGTGTTTGATAACAAAATACTGATGACCAAAAAATCTATTATTACAGCTCAAACTGCATCTCCTCCTCACGTGTTCGTGTTTGTGAGTTCAGGGTTTGTGAGGTGTGTGCTTTGAGGGATCATGTCTGTGGTTTTCACACCCGACGGGATTGAGGAGGGCGATGGCTCTCTGTCCACCGACGCTTCCGCAGGCATCTGTGGCAAAAGCAGCCCGTCGGCGCCTGCTAAAGACACCAATGCCGACAGCACAGAACCAGATGACAACCTCTCCCAGGAAGCACAGGTGAGACACAGAAACACTAGCTGTGTTTCCATCCAAAGATTCGAATTTAACTTTTGCGCAAAACTGGAATGTTGCATAAAACATTTGCGAATAAAGCACCGCTTCCATCCAACGAGTCAAAGAGAACAAAATCGTCACTTGCTGATAAACTCGCACTAAATATCACTAAGAAAACTAGGAGAAGCTACTGAATATAATACTTTTCATATAAGTGACCCTGGACCACAAAACCAGTCATAAGGGTCAATTTTTCAAAATTGAGATTTATACATCATCTGAAAGCTGAATAAATAAAAAATAATAAATTTGTTAGGATAGGACAATATTTGGCTGAGATGCAACTATTTGAAAATCTGGAATCTGAGGGTGCCAAAAAATCTAAATATTGAGAAAATCATCTTTAAAGTTGTTCAAATGAAGTTCTTAGCAATGCATATTACTAATCAAACATTAAGTTTTGATATATTTACGGTAGGAAACGTACAAAATATCTTCATGGAACATGATCTTTACTTAATATCCTAATGATTTTTGGCATAAAAGAGAAATGTATAATTGTGACCCATACAATGTATTGTTGGCTATTGCTACAAATATCCCCCAGCGACTTAACACTGCTTTTGTGCTGCAGGGACACGTGATAAATTACTTGCACCTCAGAGCGAGCAAACGAAACGCAATAAATGCAGTCAATGCTTTCGGAGGTGGATGCTGCTGTTTGGGAACGTAGTCATGTAAGACAATTAGGGATGTAATGATTCACGATTATAATTTTTTTACAAAATGAGATTTAAGAAAAATTATAAATTAAATGTGTCTTTTTATTATTGCTTGGACAAAATGCTGCACGTTTCTTTGTGAAATTGAAATATAACACAATAATAATATACTAATATAACACTTGCATATCATTGCTCTTTTGTTGGTTTTGATTGCTTCTATTGTCCTCATTCGTAAGTCGCTTTGGATAAAAGCATCTGCTAAATGACTAAATTTAAATATAATGTAAATAACAAAACTACATTGAAATTTTAAAACAAGCCCCAAATCAAATAAATTAGTAACACAAATAAAAGAAATCTCTTCATATAAACAAACTAAGGCTTTGTCTGTGCTCTTTCCTTTTAAAATCAGAGGCAACCACTGCATTTTAATCACGATCCAAACAAAGATGCTGCATACACGCAACACGAGCAGTTTTTAATCTAAATTAGATTGTATAATTTTCGAAATTTGAAACAAAAACAGAATGGTCTGACTTCAGTTTTGTGAAACTACATAAAAATATCGGCATGAAAGCTGAGCTGAATGAGACGCAGATGCACTCTCTGCCAGCAGGTGGCGCTTAAAGCGTTTCTTTGGTTTCCGCTGTAAACAAAGCAGCGCTGCACTTATGAACTTTAATATGCATTATACAGAGGCAAGATGAAAAGATATACCATCTAAACTTTTCTAAAGACTGTAAGTTCCCCTCAGACATGCATTCATATAAACTCCTACACATAAATGAATCGCGATTTGTTTAGCATCCCGACCGATTTGAATCGTCACATATTTGAATCGATTTTCAACCGGCTCGCGGTTAATCGTTACATCCCTAAAGTCAATTGTACAGAAATAGGCTACTTCGATGACAGACTTTGCTCAGGCTTTCCAGAACGACAAGAACAACATATAACCGCTGGTTAGTCGAGTTATCCCGTCTCATAGCGCAAAGTCACATGACTTTCGATGCGCATGGTGGAATTTAGTCGGTAAATGTGTTTCCATCATAGTTTATGCGCATTTTTTCTTATTGGATAAAAAAATGTGCATATAAGGTTGCGCATTTTTAGAAAATAAGTGGATGGAAACATAGCTACTTAGACTTTCCTTGGTCTTCCTCAAATCTAGATGCACTTATTTAGACACCACGTTCAAAAGTTTGGGGTCTGTATCACGTTTTATTGTTTTAAAAGTCTCTTCTGCTCAACAAGACTGCATTTATTTGATCAGAAATCTATCAAAAGTTGTGAAATATTATTAGAATGTAAAACATCTGTGTTCTATGTGAATATCTGTTAAACTGTAATTTATTTAGCTGTATTTTCAGCATCATTACTCCAGTCTTCAGTGTCACATGATCTTCAGAAATCAGTATAATATGCTGATCTGCTGCTCGAGAAATATTTCTGATTATTATCAATGTTGAGAACAGTCCAATATTTTTGTAGAAACTGATACGTTTTATTTTTCAGGATTCACAGATGAATAGAAAGTTCAAAAGAACAGCATTTATTTAAAATAGAAAATTTTGTGACATTATAAATGTCTTTACTGATTAATATAAGTATTGCTTTATTTCAAAGAAACTTCTAAATGATGACGTACATAGTTAGATTTGAGCTTATCAAGCATATAATATAAAAGCCTAATGCCTTGCAGTGTCCTGTGCTCTGACATGCAAAACTCAGTCTAAACTATTTGATCTGCCACAGAACAGGATTTAAGTGAACTGGAAAAAAAGGGTAAAAGGAGATCAAATGGTGACCAGTTACAGCACCAGAAATATATATTATATTTATACTAATGCACATGTAAATTCTAACCTATTATTTAATTTTAAATCGTCACGATTATTTTGGTCAATATTGTAATCACGATTATTTAACACAGTTATGAGTGGGCCATGTGACCAAAACTTTATATGAGTGATTTATTTAAAGATAGTGATATATATCAAATATATGTTTTCTGTAAATAAGGTTGCTGTAACATCTACATTTTAGAGACCAACGAAATTTCACAATTCTCAATACCACAGCAGAGTACTATAATAACTGATATTAGTTAAAAAAAAAAGAAATCCTCAAAATTATTGGAAATAATTAGACTGTCAGTAATAAAAAATAAAAGTACAAATACAATAGATTAAAAAGACACAAATGAAACAAACTATGCTTTTAAGTTTTTTTTTTTAAAGTATTCAGTTAACGGCCTACTACAGAAATTAATAATCTAAAGTAAAATAAAACAGCATAGTTTTCACTGTAAGAATTAAACTTCATTTGTTTCTTATTAAAGCTACAAAAGTCCTTCACTCAGGAGCAGGGAGTGATTTTGTCTTTGTCTTTTGTTGTTTGATTAATATTAAGCTCACAGTCGGCAGCAGGAATATTAGGATGCTGTCACTTTAAGAGCTGCACGGATCCAGTTTACTGTTACACATGTTAAATCTTGATGTCGAATAAAATGCATTTTCTCCATGTTATTTGTCAGCTACCCATTTGTGAAGTGCCTGTCATTTCCCCGCTGAGGTTTTGTTTGGTGCTGAAGTTCATCATTAATGAATGATTTTAATGGTCACTAATAAATATTTTGGTCTTTCCCCGCAGCGACGCTGTCAGAATCACGGCCACACTAGGAAACGAGCCAAGGTAAAGCATGCGAGGACACACACACTTCTCTCCTAAACATGACAGGCTTTAGCAGTCAGTCGAGTTTAACCTCGACGTTACAGACCCATAACATCTGTGTTTCTGGATGTAGGTTCAGTCACATGTCTTACTGCATGAAATCTTGTGTGTAGGTTTTGTGTTGTTTATGCATTAGTTTTCAATGCAAAAATCGGAATTAACCATTCAGTTGTATGCAAAATAAATGTATAATAATAATAGAAATATTACATTACATTGCATTTAGTCATTTAGTAGACGCTTTGGATAAACGCGACTTACAAAGGAGGACAATAGAAGCAATCAAAATCAACAAGAGAGCAATGATATGCCAGTGCTATAACAAGTCTGTTAGCTTAACGCAGTACATGTAGCAAGTTTTTTTTTAAATTATATAATAAATAAAAAGAAAGCAGATAGAATAGAAAAAGCTAGTTGTATATAAATAGATATATTTAAACATAAATAGAGCAAGCAGCTGGATGTTGACATCACTGAATTCAATGATGAACTGCCTTTAACTGAAAATAACGGAGTGTTTACTGTTGGCCTTCTGCATTGACACCCATCTGATTCTGTTCTCCGTTCTCTTCCAGACTCCAGTCAGGAATACACTGATTCCACGGGGATCGATGTGCACGAGTTCCTGGTGAACACACTGAAAAACAACCCCAGGTACGACAGCCTCGGTCTGATGTTCAGACACAACACTGATATCAGACACCGCCGGCGTCTCACACAAACTCATCTGTCTCTGGTTACACTCGGCTTTTCCTGTGGATCACTCTGGCCGTGTCCCAAATCACATACTAAGTGTTATACGAGAAGTGAGCTTTAAAGGGGTCATATGATGCAATTTCATTTTTTCCTTTCTCTTTGGAGTGTTACAAGCTCTTGGTGCATAAAGAAGATCTGTAAAGTTGCAAAGACTAAAGTCTCAAATCCAAAGAGATATTCTTTATAAAAGTTAAGAGTCAGCTACTCCTCCTAAAACGCCTCGTTCTAACACGCCCCCACATGTCTACATCACTATGTGGGAAAATTTGCATAACGCCGCCCAAATGTTCACGCAGAGAAAGAAGGCGTAACTTTTATTCTCGCTGTAGTATTGTTGCCGCCGCCGGCATGTCGTGAAGACGCTGTGTGCTTCGTTGTGAAAGCGAAACTACTTTGTTTGGTCTTCCAAAAGAGGACGATATCCACTTCGTCATGCTTAGAGCTGATCTGTGCTGGTCGCTGAGGAAATACATCAACTTAGTGCTGTAGATCGCCGGCACATTTTATGGAGGACTGTTTATTTATCCGGGGAGAGTAACTAAAATGCCTGCAGTTCTGACTCACGTAAGTACTAAACCACATAAACACATTTCATTACACCAAATACACAACATAATGTTCTTTTTCATATGACCCCTTTAAATCATAGTAGTGAGTGTGCTGAAGGAACCCAGATTTCAGTACAGAGAGAAAGAGTTTGTGATATTTTCCATCAACTTTCAGGGATTTTCAGTGTATAAACCTAAATGAGCACAAAACCAGTCATAAGGGTCAATTTTTTGAATAAGCTATAATAAGCATTGATGTATGGTTTGTTAGGATCGGACAATATTTGGCTGAGATACAACTATTTCAAAATCTGGAATCTGAGGGTGCAAAAATATCTAAATATTGAGAAAATCATCTTTAAAGTTGTTCAAATGAAGTTCTTAGCAATGCATATTACTAATCAAAAATGCAGTTTTTATATATTCACCGTATGAAATGTACAAAATATCTTCATGGAACATGATCTTTACTTAATATCCTAATGATTTTTGTCATAAAAGAGAAATGTATAATTGTGACCCATACAATGTATTGTTGGCTATTGCTACAAATATCCCCCAGCGACTTAACACTGCTTTTGTATATAAAAGCAGTTTATATTTAAACTTATTCTAACATCTAAATATTGAGAAAATCATCTTTAAAGTTGTTCAAATGAAGTTCTTAGCAATGCATATTACTAATCAAACATTAAGTTTTGATATATTAACGGTATGAAATGTACAAAATATCTTCATGGAACATGATCTTTACTTAATATCCTAATGATTTTTGTCATAAAAGAGAAATGTATAATTGTGACCCATACAATGTATTGTTGGCTATTGCTACAAATATCCCCCAGCGACTTAACACTGCTTTTGTATATAAAAGCAGTTTATATTTAAACTTATTCTAACATAAAAGGTGTTTAAAGTTGTGTTTTGGGTCATTATGCTTTGGCACAGTATCTGTCAGACCGAAAGCACAATATACTCAGTCCCTTCATCAAGTCTGTTTTCGCTGCGTTTTTCAAAGCGAAGCACGGACTTCGTTCAGACGATCAGCTCGTTATCCGGTGTTTTCTGCGTCTCAGAACGACTCGTTCACACTGAATGAATGCCGTCAACTCCTTTATTTCAAGTGCTGTGAGTTTAGTGCACGTTTGGGAACACAACAGACACCAGTTATGCTTTATTTTCACGGCAGATGATTACAGCGTTTCACTAGATTTGTAGTTTTTGTAAGCCTGTTTTCACTGAAGCTGGAGTTTTCCTTCAAAATAAAAGCTCTACTGCCATTTCCGCCAGAATAAAAGCGTAAAAGTGCAGTATTAATAGCTGACAGCTAGCGGTTTAAATGCAGTCCAAATTCAAAATATCTCTGTCAAGTGTAGAAATTAGGAAAGAAGTATTGTATTTTCTCTACTGTAGTGTAAAGCAAAAATAATATACCTATGAAATATTCATTTTAATTTATTTTACAGTGCAGTTGTTTTAGAATATATGGCTATTACTGTCATTGTTGTTATTATTATTATTATTATATTCTAATTATTTTGGCTTCCTAAAACCCCAGTGTGAGTGTAATTTAGACTGAGACAGTATACCACAAATACAAAGAGGGTTGAGTCCTCTTTAAAGGGACTCAAAGTTAAGAACAAGGGATGGAGCTCTTAATTTTGAACTCAAAGTGCACTTGATATAATAATTTAATTTTAAAATGTACAAAATTTTCATTTTTTTCCCAATTCTTTTTTTTAATAGTGCAATCAATATGGTACCGTGTACTTCATATCGAGATATTATCATATCGTGAGATTTTGATATCGTTACATCCCTAGTTACAGATGAATCATCATCATCAAAGTACGTGGTGAAGTATGTGAATCTGAAAGCAGCGTCAGCTTCCACTTGATTAGTTTTTTCTGTTCTTCTGCATCACTTTTACCTGTAAATCCTCCTTTACTCTTTTAGAGACAGAATGATGCTGCTCAAGCTGGAACAGGATATCCTGGATTTCATTAATGATGAGAAGTATTTTGCGAGTTCTTGTTTTTAATGTTGATAATAATATTGTACGAGCGAGAATGCAAATCCAAATATCGACACGATTGCAAATGTGACATTGATTTTATACAACCGTTCAACAAACAAAAGGGTAAAATTAAGTGATGTTCTTCACAGTATTGTCAGTATTTGCTCTATTTTGTAATGAAATAATAGTTCAGAAGAAATGCAA